GAATAAAACCCACATTTAATTTACTTCACTAAGGTGGATCATCGTTACCTTTACAGTATGTATGAAAAAGATAGTTTACTATATAAAACGTATCGATCGTATCATATTATCTATAAAAAAAAAAAAACTCTTCAGGTTTATGGAGAATCTGTTGTGAAAGGTAATAGCAATATTCATGTAAACCATTACAGGTAAAGAAAAATGTCTATATTACCTGTATTTCTTATGAATTAGAAATACATTTACGAATATTCTTGATCTATCTCGCTAGGGAAATCGGGAAAACGGAAGCATTAGAGAAGGAAATATTCTAACGATATATACTTACTTTGAAATTGCTCTGAAATCTACGGGAAAAAACACATTTCAATAACAACATTTTATGACTAGTACTTCGCTACTTTAACAGTATTTGAACTACCGCTGAGTAGCTGGATGATATGAAGCTGAGAGGCTTCAGAAACAATAAACGGAGAAATCTCAATATATCAATATTATTCTCTAAACGTTATCCAGTTATGTTTCATTCCCTTATACTATTTCTTTTGCCAAGGAGAGAGAGAGGGAGAGAGAGAGAGAGAGAGAGAGAGAGAGAGAGAGAGAGAGAGAGAGAGAGAGAGAGAGAGAGAGAGAGAGAGAGAGAGAGAGAGAGAGAGAGAGAGAGAGAGAGAGAGAGAACGAAAAAGAGATAGGATATTTTTCAAAACATTGAGGTTTGTGATACGAATAAAAGCAACAGAAAAAATTATGATGATAGTTACGATAACAACGATGATAAGATATCAACAATGTTGATAATAATGATAATTGTAATAAAAATAATCCAATGATAATGAAGTTGATAGTAGTTTTTGGATAAAAGATATGAATGAGAGAGAGAAAAAAGTAATAAAACAATGATGTAAGAAAGGGGAATATAAATAAATTCCAAAGTAAAAAGTTTTAGAAGCTGTACGATCAGTCTCCCATACGGTTTAATCAACACCCACGGTTTGCCAAGGAGAGAGACAGAGGAAAGTATAAGGGTTTCGAACTGATATGGAAGAGAGAAGTTTTAACAAGGCGCCATCACCTTCCCTGAGAGTATAACAGGACAAAGAAACTGTTCGGTGAAGACGAGACGGTGTGCGTGTGTGCTTGTGTAGATCTCTCTTTTTCTACACACACACAACACACTTACGCACACACAGACACAAACACACATACACAATACACCCGCCAACACACACACACATTTATACATATATCTTTATTTAAGAAATATCTATGTAGATATATACATATATGTATATATATATATATATATATATATATATATATATATATATATATATATATATATATAATATATCACACACACACACACACACACACACACGCACACACAACACACACACACATTCACACACACACACCACACACACACAACACAACACACACACATCACAACACACACCATACACATATATATATATATATTATATATATATATATATATATATATATTTATATATATATCGAGGTCATTATTTATTCGACATTTTAAACGGTGCTTTGGGTAGAATATCAACATATGTATATACATAACCAAAACATTTCTTTACATGTTTTTATATTGAAATAAAAATTCATTTGGGGGAAAGCAAATAAGTTTCACGGAAAACGAGTCCTTGCCTTTCTTCCCGTATGGTAAATGCTTAAAGGTAGACCCTACGGAATTGCCTTGTGTTGAATTATGATCCCTTTGTGTTATATGAATAATGTTAATAAAAGCAAGCTATCCAAAGAGCACGAATAAACAGTTGAGCTGCACTGTATTCCACCAAAAAATTAGTCTCGTGAACTAGATCAGTTTCATCCGCTTTTTAAATAAATTAATTTTATCACCGTAGGACATGTTGCACGGAACTTTTGATAGATTACTTTCTTAGTGCGTGTTGGGAGAGAGAATATAGATGCTTGCTTGTGTCAGGTTTAAGGAAAATGAATATATCGTAATTTAACAAACGACTCAAAAATGATGTCGAATTCTCGATCATTGAATTTACTTTCACAAACCTACTTGCCGAAAGAAACATTGACCAGACTACTGATTTCTCAATACACAGAGGAGAGAGAGAGAGAAAGAAATGAAGGTAATTTGCGGCATGAGTCAGTTTACTGAAAATTTAAAATTCAAGCGAGCCATTGACCTTATGTAAAAGAAGGTCGAGCAAATTTACCAGAATCCTCCAATTCAACTCTGAAATCAAAGTACGTGCGCGATTCATGAGCCACTTTTTTCTAAATCTATCGAAATCCGAACGGTTCACTCGCTGCGCAATATGTACATATTCATACATACATATATACGTATATATATCTATATCTATATATATAATATATATTATATATATATATATATATATATATATATATATATATATATATATGTGTGTGTGTGTGTGTGTGTGTGTGTGTGTGTGTGTGTGTGTGTGTGTGTGTGTGTGTGTGTGTGTGT